ATAAACAGGATTATTTTTTTAACAAAATTAACTTTTGAATACTATCTTATGATCATAAACAAGCTTCTGTCCAAGTATGGTACAAATCCAGGATAGTTTAAGAAAGTTATTAAAATTTGAAAAACTTTACCACAGAGTGAATGTTATGTTAACTGGCAGAAAAACTAAGTCCAGTTATGAGTAAAATACGGATAAACAGGATTTTTTTTTTACAAAATTTTCTTCTGGATACTATCTTATGATTATAAACAAGCTTCTGTCCAAGGTTGGTACAAATCCAGGATAGTTTAAGAAAGTTATTAAAATTTGAAAAACTTTAACCACAGAGTGAATGTAATGTTAACTGGCAGAAAAACTAAGTCCATTTATGAGTAAAATACGGATAAACAGGATTTTTTTTTACAAAATTTACTTCTGGATACTATCTTATGATCATAAACAAGCTTCTGTCCAAGTTTATTAGAAATCCAGGATAGTTTAAGAAAGTTATTAAAATTTCAAAAACTTTAACCACAGAGTGAATATTTGTGGACGCCGCCGACGACGACGGACGACGACGACGACAACGCCGACGACGGAATGTAGGATCGCTATGTCTCGCTTTTGCGACAAAAGTCGCAGGCTCGACAAAAATCAAAAGAAAACTTCACGACGACAAAATAGACGATTTTGTGCCCTGGATCGTGAATTGATCGGTCTTTTTCGAGTGTTATCATGTTTTTTTTTCGTGTGAATATGCTGTAAAATGTTAACAAACAGACTTCTTCTCTTTTCGTAAGACGGGAAATAAAAGTTTAAAAAAAACGTCAAAGGTAAAAACATCAATTGAAGTTATACACGTTGAATATAAAATTATTCTTAGAATGCTCTTTTTGAATATTCAAAAATGTGTAACAAAGCCATCTGTAGGGTGTAGGTAGGTGAAATTCTAACATAAAAACCGATCTAAAATTGACACTTTAAGTCAGAAGAGCATAAGTTATGGAACAAAATAACATTTGGTTGAGACGAATTGTAGTTAAAGAGCACGGAAATGAAAATTTCAGCAATTTTTCTATTTGTAAAGGAGTATAATTCTAGAACGGTAAAAGTGACGCCACCAAAATTAAAATTTGATCTGTGTTTTGTGGTAATAAGCATCGTTTGTTGATGTGGTTCATAAGTGTTTCTCGTTTCTCGTTTTTTATATAGATTAGACCGTTGGTTTTCCCGTTTGAATGGTTTTACACTAGTAAATTTTGGGGCCCTTTATAGCTTGCTGTTCGGTGTGAGCTAAGGCTCCATGTTGAAGACTGTACTTTGACCTATAATTGTTTACTTTTATAAATTTTGACTTGGATGGAGAGTTGTCTCATTGGCACTCATACCACATCTTCTTATATCTATATATTGTGTATAAATTTTATGACAATTGGTTGAGGCAAACTAAAGTTAGAGAACGGAAACCAATTTTGGGACGTACGGACACAGGGACGTTCAGGCGGACAAGGGTAAAGTTTAATGCCCCTCCGCTACGGCGGGGGCATAATAAGCTAAAAAATATTGATAGGTTATCGAGTTCCTTTTTGTGATATATGATTTTTTTTTAAATGGGGCGAAAAGGATGACTCGGACTTTTACATTAAATTTAGCATTGGCATTATTTGGGACATACGGATGCACGGACGTACAGACGGACAAGGGTAAAGTTTAATGCTCCTCCGCTACGGCGGGGGCATAATAAGCTAAAAAATATTGATAGGTTATCGAGTTCCTTTTTGTGATATATGATTTTTTTTTAAATGGGGCGAAAAGGATGACTCGGACTTTTACATTAAATTTAGCATTGGCATTATTTGGGACGTACGGATGCACGGACGTACAGACGGACAAGGGTAAAGCTTAATGCCCCTCCGCTACGGCGGGGCATAATAAGCTAAAAATATTAATAGTTTATAAAATTCCTTTTTGTGATATATGTTTTTTTTTTAATGGGGGAAAAAGGATGACTTGGACTTTTACCTTATATTTAGCATTGGCATTATTTGGGACGTACAGACGCACGGACGTACAGACGGATAAGGGTAAATCTTAATGCCCCTCCGCTACGGCGGGGGCATAATAAGCTAAAAATTTGATAGGTTATAGAATTCCTTTTTGTGATATTTTTTTACTAGAATTATTTCACACGCGAGTAAATGTAAATATATTTATTTTCTAAAAAAATATAAGTTCGATATCGCACAGCTAATTCTTTTAAAATCTAGAAACAACTGATTAACATAAAAGTTGACAAACACTAAAATTGGAACACGTGCAACCTAGTTCACGAGAAAGATAATAAACCGTTATTAGCTACCACATACGAACATCTATCAACTCTTGCCATAAACTTGCGTATCGTCCCCATAACATTTATGAATTTGACAGATGCTGAGTTCGGACAGAGAAAACAATAAACATTGATATAAACATCTATTAAAATTTTAAATTCAAATCAAAGTTGTGTTTTAAATTTCGTTTTTGTATTACTGTTCTCTCATATTTTCCATTGTTTTGTAAAAAAAAAAAAATTGAAATTGTCTCAGTCAAATAATTTGACAAAGTTTATCAGAAGTTTAGCTATTACCCTATTATACTCAACGAAGCTCGGAGATAAATGTACGTTCACCCGTTAGAACGTTTAACGACCGTTGACTCGTCGAAAAAAGGGAACGGGTGTGGTTTGGTCATTCAACAAGATAATTCCAAAGCTTTCAGACAAATTACTTCTTTATTTCAGCAATCACTTCTTTTGTATTAATAAAATAAAATTAATAGGACTGTATTATACTTCTTTCCATTTTTGGGGACCATTATTATCAATTATGTTGTGTGCAGTATACAAATATGTAATAATGTGCACGTTTACAATCATCCATGTTTTATGTGGATGGCGGAGTTGACAGAAAGATATATGCAAAAAGAATATAAAATGACATTGTCAAAGTTTTAGGACCCTGTTATTTCAATATAAAAAATTACTTACTTCATTGTCGTGTTTGTGGACTACCGACTCAAGAGAATGTTGATTTCAACAAAGTGTGTTGTAAACGGTGTATACATACTGTCGGATAAATTTCGCGGGAAAAATATTGATGTATTTTTTTATACAAGTATAAAAAGTAACATCATTCCATTATACAATATAAACCCCCCCCCCTATTTTTTTAACCTAACTTTCGATTTCCAAACATGAACGTTTCTGGAGTTTTTCAAAATCGATACGCCAATGTCTTCTCTAATGTCTCCTCTACGTTACACATACAGTCGTTGCCCGTCACAATCTCTATAAATTGGGTTTCAATCATCTTAAGGTACGCCATCCCTCGTTTTTTAAATTTCAGTTTTTTAACCGTAACTTCAGATTTTCGAACATAAACCACTCTGGAGATTTTGTGAACCGATGCACCAATGTCTCCTCTACAACACCTATATAGTCGTTGCCCTTCACAATTTCGTTAAAATGGTCCAAAATTTTCTTTTATTGCCCTACCCTCCTAATCTCATTTTGTCAATTTCACAATAAAATTTTCAGTTTTTTAACCGTAACTTCAGATTTTCGAACATAAACCACTCTGGAGATTTTCTTAACCGATGCGCCAATGTCTCCTCTACAACACCTATATAGTCGTTGCCCGTCACAATCTCTTTAAAATGGTCCAAATTTTTCTTTTAGTGCCCTACCCCCCTAATCTCATTTTGTCAATTTCATAATAAAATTTTCAGTTTTTTAACCGTAACTTCAGATTTTCGAACATAAACCACTCTGGAGATTTTGTGAACCGATGCACCAATGTCTCCTCTACAACACCTATATAGTCGTTGCCATTCACAATTTCTTTAAAATGGTCAAAAATTTTCTTTTATTGCCCTACCCTCCTAATCTCATTTTGTCAATTTCACAATAAAATTTTCAGTTTTTTAACCGTAACTTCAGATTTTCGAACATAAACCACTCTGGACATTTTCTTAAACGATGCGCCAATGTCTCCTCTACAACACCTATATAGTCGTTGCCCGTCACAATCTCTTTAAAATGGTCCAAATTTTTCTTTTAGTGCCCTACCCCCCTAATCTCATTTTGTCAATTTCATAATAAAATTTTCAGTTTTTTAACCGTAACTTCAGATTTTCGAACATAAACCACTCTGGAGATTTTCTTAAACGATGAGCCAATGTCTCCTCTACAACACCTATATAGTCGTTGCCCGTCACAATCTCTTTAAAATGGTCCAAATTTTTCTTTTAGTGCCCTACCCCCATAATCTCATTTTGTCAATTTCACAATAAAATTTTCAGTTTTTTAACCGTAACTTCAGATTTTCGAACATAAACCACTCTGGAGATTTTCTTAAACGATGCGCCAATGTCTCCTCTACAACACCTATATAGTCGTTGCCCGTCACAATCTCTTGAAATTTACCAAAATTAACTTAAATTGGCCTACCCCCCTAATCTCATTTTGTCAATTTCACAATTTCAGTTTTTTAACCGTAACTTCAGATTTTCGAACATAAACCACTCTGGAGATTTTCTTAAACGATGCGCCAATGTCTCCTCTACAACACCTATATAGTCGTTGCCCGTCAAAATCTCTTTAAAATGATCCAAATTTTTCTTTTAGGGCCCTACCCCCATAATCTCATTTTGTCAATTTCACAATAATGTTTTCAGTTTTTTAACTGTAACTTCAGATTTTCGAACATAAACCACTCTGGAGATTTTCTTAAACGATGTGCCAATGTCTCCTCTACAACACCTATATAGTCGTTGCCCGTCAAAATCTCTTTAAAATGGTCCAAATTTTTCTTTTATTGCCCTACCCTCCTAATCTCATTTTGTCAATTTCACAATAAAATTTTCAGTTTTTTAACCGTAACTTCAGATTTTCGAACATAAACCACTCTGGAGATTTTCTTAAACGATGCGCCAATGTCTCCTCTACAACACCTATATAGTCGTTGCCCGTCACAATCTCTTTAAAATGGTCCAAATTTTTCTTTTAGTGCCCTACCCCCCTAATCTCATTTTGTCAATTTCACAATAAAATTTTCAGTTTTTTAACCGTAACTTCAGATTTTCGAACATAAACCACTCTGGAGATTTTCTTAAACGATGCGCCAATGTCTCCTCTACAACACCTATATAGTAGTTGCCCGTCACAATCTCTTGAAATTTACCAAAATTAACTTAAATTGGCCTACCCCCCTAATCTCATTTTGTCAATTTCACAATTTCAGTTTTTTAACCGTAACTTCAGATTTTCGAACATAAACCACTCTGGAGATTTTCTTAAACGATGCGCCAATGTCTCCTCTACAACACCTATATAGTCGTTGCCCGTCAAAATCTCTTTAAAATGATCCGAATTTTTCTTTTAGTGCCCTACCCCCATAATCTCATTTTGTCAATTTCACAATAATGTTTTCAGTTTTTTAACTGTAACTTCAGATTTTCGAACATAAACCACTCTGGAGATTTTCTTAAACGATGTGCCAATGTCTCCTCTACAACACCTATATAGTCGTTGCCCGTCAAAATCTCTTTAAAAAGGTCCAAATTTTTCTTTTATTGCCCTACCCTCCTAATCTCATTTTGTCAATTTCACAATAAAATTCTCAGTTTTTTAACCGTAACTTCAGATTTTCGAACATAAACCACTCTGGACATTTTCTTAAACGATGCGCCAATGTCTCCTCTACAACACCTATATAGTCGTTGCCCGTCACAATCTCTTTAAAATGGATCAAATTTTTCATTTAGTGCCCTACCCCCCTAATCTCATTTTGTCAATTTCACAATAAAATTTTCAGTTTTTTAATCGTAACTTCAGATTTTCGAACATAAACCACTCTGTAGATTTTCTTAACCGATGCGCCAATGTCTCCTCTACAACACCTATATAGTCGTTGCCCGTCACAATCTCTTTAAAATGGTCCAAATTTTTCTTTTAGTGCCCTACCCTCCTAATCTCATTTTGTCAATTTCACAATAAAATTTTCAGTTTTTTAACCTTAACTTCAGATTTTCGAACATAAACCACTCTGGAGATTTTGTTAACCGATGCACCAATGTCTCCTCTACAACACCTATATAGTCGTTGCCATTCACAATTTCTTTAAAATGGTCCAAATTTTTCTTTTAGTGCCCTACCCCCCTAATCTCATTTTGTCAATTTCATAATAAAATTTTCAGTTTTTTCACCGTAACTTCAGATTTTCGAACATAAACCACTCTGGAGATTTTGTTAACCGATGCACCAATGTCTCCTCTACAACACCTATGTAGTCGTTGCCATTCACAATCTCTTTAAAATGGTCCAAATTTTTCTTTTAGTGCCCTACCCCCCTAATCTCATTTTGTCAATTTCACAATAAAATTTTCAGTTTTTTAACCGTAACTTCAGATTTTCGAACATAAACCACTCTGGAGATTTTCTTAAACGATGCGCCAATGTCTCCTCTACAACACCTATATAGTCGTTGCCCGTCAAAATCTCTTTAAAATGGTCCAAATTTTTCTTTTATTGCCCTACCCTCCTAATCTCATTTTGTCAATTTCACAATAAAATTCTCAGTTTTTTAACCGTAACTTCAGATTTTCGAACATAAACCACTCTGGAGATTTTCTTAAACGATGAGCCAATGTCTCCTCTACAACACCTATATAGTCGTTGCCCGTCACAATCTCTTTAAAATGGTCCAAATTTTTCTTTTAGTGCCCTACCCCCATAATCTCATTTTGTCAATTTCACAATAAAATTTTCAGTTTTTTAACCGTAACTTCAGATTTTCGAACATAAACCACTCTGGAGATTTTCTTAAACGATGCGCCAATGTCTCCTCTACAACACCTATATAGTCGTTGCCCGTCACAATCTCTTGAAATTTACCAAAATTAACTTAAATTGGCCTACCCCCCTAATCTCATTTTGTCAATTTCACAATTTCAGTTTTTTAACCGTAACTTCAGATTTTCGAACATAAACCACTCTGGAGATTTTCTTAAACGATGCGCCAATGTCTCCTCTACAACACCTATATAGTCGTTGCCCGTCAAAATCTCTTTAAAATGATCCGAATTTTTCTTTTAGTGCCCTACCCCCATAATCTCATTTTGTCAATTTCACAATAATGTTTTCAGTTTTTTAACTGTAACTTCAGATTTTCGAACATAAACCACTCTGGAGATTTTCTTAAACGATGTGCCAATGTCTCCTCTACAACACCTATATAGTCGTTGCCCGTCAAAATCTCTTTAAAAAGGTCCAAATTTTTCTTTTATTGCCCTACCCTCCTAATCTCATTTTGTCAATTTCACAATAAAATTCTCAGTTTTTTAACCGTAACTTCAGATTTTCGAACATAAACCACTCTGGACATTTTCTTAAACGATGCGCCAATGTCTCCTCTACAACACCTATATAGTCGTTGCCCGTCACAATCTCTTTAAAATGGATCAAATTTTTCTTTTAGTGCCCTACCCCCCTAATCTCATTTTGTCAATTTCACAATAAAATTTTCAGTTTTTTAATCGTAACTTCAGATTTTCGAACATAAACCACTCTGTAGATTTTCTTAACCGATGCGCCAATGTCTCCTCTACAACACCTATATAGTCGTTGCCCGTCACAATCTCTTTAAAATGGTCCAAATTTTTCTTTTAGTGCCCTACCCTCCTAATCTCATTTTGTCAATTTCACAATAAAATTTTCAGTTTTTTAACCGTAACTTCAGATTTTCGAACATAAACCACTCTGGAGATTTTGTTAACCGATGCACCAATGTCTCCTCTACAACACCTATATAGTCGTTGCCATTCACAATTTCTTTAAAATGGTCCAAATATTTCTTTTAGTGCCCTACCCCCCTAATCTCATTTTGTCAATTTCATAATAAAATTTTCAGTTTTTTCACCGTAACTTCAGATTTTCGAACATAAACCACTCTGGAGATTTTGTTAACCGATGCACCAATGTCTCCTCTACAACACCTATGTAGTCGTTGCCCTTCACAATCTCTTTAAAATGGTCCAAATTTTTCTTTTAGTGCCCTACCCCCCTAATCTCATTTTGTCAATTTCACAATAAAATTTTCAGTTTTTTAACCGTAACTTCAGATTTTCGAACATAAACCACTCTGGAGATTTTCTTAAACGATGCGCCAATGTCTCCTCTACAACACCTATATAGTCGTTGCCCCTTACAATCTCTATAAATTGGTCCAAAATTAACTTTGAGTGCCCAACCCCCAAATCTCATTTTGTAAATTTCAGTTTTTTAACCCCAACTTCAGATTTTCGAACATAAAGTGATCTGGATTTTTTTTCTACACGATGCGCCAATGTCTCCTCTACAACAACTATATAGTCGTTGCCGGTCACAATCTCTATAAATTGGTTCAACATTAACTTTTAGTGCCCTACCTCCCTAATCTCATTTAGTCAATTTCAGTTTTTTTACCGTAACTTCAGATTTTTGAACATAAACCACTCTGGAGATTTTCCTAAACGATGCGGAAATGTCTCCTCTAAAACACCTATATAGTCGTTGCCTGTAACAATCTATTCAAATTGGTCAAAAAATAACTTAAAATGTCCTATACCCTAATTTCTTTTTGTTAATTTCAGTTTTTTTCTACCACAATTTAAGATTTTCGAACATAAACCACTCTGGAGATTTTCCTAAACGATGCGGCACTATCTCCTCTTAAACACCTATATAGTCGTAACCTGTCACAATCTCTATTAATCGGACCAAACAATGTAAAGTGCACCCCCATTCCCTAAAAATGCATTGTGTCAATGTGTTAACTTATGGTCATTGTAATCCAGCTGTCTATTGAATGCCTTATGTGGATTTATTTAGTTAGGAAAGAAAAGCTTTGTATTCTTTATATATGAAGTATGGTTTCCCTTTTGTTTTAAGTTAGTTTTTTCGTTTTTGTTTAAGATTGTATGTATTCTCATAATTGTTCGCTAGCTCGAAAAAACGTGATAACCTTATGTGATATTGTGGTTTTTAGTTATACCTCCTAATTGTTCGCTAGCTAATTGTTCGCTACAATTGTTCGCTAGAATGGGTCAGGTCAAATTTTTGTGCAGTTTAAAATTATTCCTGAAAATCAAATGGTCGGAGCTTTAAGCCAGATTTGTTTACCAAAATTGAGTCAGGAAAGCATAAAGAAAAAATGTGATGAACACATCGATTTCTTCCAACTAATTTTCTTTGTTTTTACACTTATTGTATAATTACATCAATACCAAAACAGAGCACATTATTACAGCCATGTCTACCGACTGAATTGACGTATGTTAATTTTCTAATAAATCATCGTAAACTTTATTTATGTCACCCAACATAAAAAAAAAACATAAAATCTGCAATATTCGACTGCAAATTGAATTTTTGCTCTATTGCTTCTTCTACGGAATATCTCCAGAAGAGGTCCAGATTCATTTCTTTGGACTCTTCACCAGAAGACATTCTGGAGATGTACAGAAGAGACCAATAAAACACGCCCCAGCTAAATGTAAGATTTCAATGCAATCACGACGTCGCGCGCAGTGTTTTTCCCCTAGCTGTTCAAAAGATTCAACTGCGTATACTCACAAAACGAATTCGATGACCACTTACAAATATTGTATCAATAAGTTATTGTAGTGGCAATAACATATTTAAAAAAAAATCATAGGACAAGGGTTTCGTAAATGCTTATTAAAAGATAAAATTGCTGAAAGTTTTCGAGATAGTTTCGTGTATTCTATACTTTTAAACTTCTATTTTCCAGTTAAATGTATTTACAAATTCTCTGAAAGAAGTCCATTTTTTCGAGTATTCACATATAGTTACTTATGGCCTAGTTTATGGAAAAAAATGTGGGATCGGCCACTCACATACATGTTACCCTTATACAATAATCTATGCCAAATGTTTCAGGTACGTTAATGTAGATTTTATCTGAAGCACAACAAAACTCAACATTTAATTCATTAAGTTATCTGATACACATGGTACCATATGTAAACGATTGTCATCATCAAATATCTTGCAGAATAATCCAAACACTGCCCTTCTTCTTGTAAATTTGCATAAAATATGGAATGTTTGGTTTAAAAATATATTAGTTGTTCTTTGAATAAAATGTGATGCGATATAATTAAACAAGGCCGCAACACAAGTACCAATATTAGACATCCAAAAACATATAAATGGTATCCAATCACCAAAAATCAGCAAGGATTAGAATAAGTTGGAACATCTTCGTCTTTGATGTAGCATTTTTACATCGGTTGACCGTGAGGGCATTCCGGTGTATTGCTGTCGCCTAGATTTCCATTACGTAACTTTCGTGTTGGGATTTTAACCGATCTATAAACATGATAAATACGCGGACATTATCGAGTGCAAAATAACATTCCTTATCGCTTGTTGTAAATTCATTTTTTCAATGGATACTCCTAAAAATATTTTTTTAGAACATAAATTAATAATATGAAAATGTTTTGTCGTTAGAAATATATATATAAGTAAAAAATATTTAATATCTATGCAAACGTACAGAAAATGTGTGTTAACGCATGCGGAAGAATATCTCAAGGACGTTTGCAATCTCCCATGCAGAGTTATCAGTCCTCGCTCTCTCTCAAGGACCGATAACTCTGCATGGGAGATTGAAAGTTTGGCGGGAAAATATTAATGCCTACTCAAATCCAATCTATTAGAAAAATCGAATTATTACAGAAGAGTGTCCACCATGCACTTGCACTGCACTATTATTAATATAGTAGAATAGAATGATATACAAATGGATGAAAATTATATATACATGTAACTGTAATATACAAATATTAATATAATATATAACAACAAACCAGAGTATACTGATTTGTATCACTTCAATATCATATTTATTACGGTGAGGTTGAATTCCCTGTCATTTATTTATCCTCCACGCACGAACTTGTCTAAGAAAAACAATTATATCTGTACATTAACCTCACTTTCAAGTATAGAGATGTGATTTTTTTTCTGAGACAAGTGCTTGTGACCATCCACAAGAACTTGCAGTCATCCGATGTTCAGTACTTCAGTACTTTGATTGAATTCGAAATAGGGACGTGAAACCCGATCATATACAGTTTGTAGAAAATACGTACTAGAAATATTGTTCATTTGGTTTACTCTAAATTTGAATGAAATATTATCCACTGGGTGTTACGTAAGCAGCAAGCAATCATATTTCGTTTTGATGAACATGTATATACATTACCACTCTATAACATAATTGACTGTGCATGATAACTTGATTTTTTTTACAATTAGGAGGCAAAATAGTATTAAATTACAAAATATATAAGAGTGTCGCTTCTTTCTATCAATAAACATTCTATTTCATTTAACAGATTTTCATGGAATAGTATAACAAAGTAAGTTAATAAATAAAATTTATTATGTAATTACAAAGTTAAGAATGTTTCTAAAGTTCAAATGTTAGAATGTTCATAAATCGTCTCTCAAGTTCAAATGTTCGAAAGTTTACAAATGGTCACACGGACACGTGATCGTATAGAGTTATAATTTCGATCCTGACTAGAATGAATTCGGATGGTAAGTGAATTAATTCCAGCCTACCCACGAGGGGGAGACCTGATGGAATCTTTTGTTTATTTTTCTTTCCTAGTATTTATATACGGTCAGTCTTACTGGTCAGTCTGTGTAGTGGTATTAATTTGCTGCAGGATACTTGTATCAGCGTAATTGAAGTCAAAACGGATTGTATAATAATGTGTAGAGTCTATTAATGAAACACACATTTGTCTGTATGTAATGAAATACTGTTACAAATTGTCCAAATCTTATTTTAATACGATTGTCAAAATAATTGTAACACCACTTGTATAGTCTGTTAATGCATTACACATTTGTCGTTATGTTATTAAATAATGTTCTAACCCGCATTGTGTTACATTATGTTGTGTTACAATAGTATGATTCTTCTTTCCCATCTTTGTAGCATTATGGTAAATGTTTGTCATTCGATAACCGGTTTTCAAGGTCTGCCTATGCATATTCCTTTGGCAGTAGCAGTATGACGTTTTATTGACATCAAATCCATTCCAAGAATAGCTGCAGCCATCAAACAAAGGCAGACGATACCTCCGATTCCCAGTGACCGCGACGATAGTCTTTCATCCGATGCAGACACATGTTTCCTGACATAGGAGGATAACAGTTTTTTGTCGACTTTTAGTTCCTTTTCTAATTTCTTAAGAGATGATAAAAGAAGATCATGCAATTCGTCTACTGTGTAATTTGATCCATTCTTAACTGGAGAACATGGACACTGACAAAGCCTGGTTTCTAAAAAAGTATGTCTTTCAATAATTAATTAAAATACACTACAATTGTGATATATTAGGAAATCAGTTATTAAATGCATTATGAATTAGAAATTACTGAAAAACTAAGGTTTCCTCTCCCTCAGGCAAAGTTAACCTTAGATGGATTTGTCTATTATTTTAGGTCCCTTTTATTCATATAGCTTTTCAACTCTGTCTGACACATAGCTGATTACGTATGCAGGATTTTATACGCCCGTCTTTAAAGATCATTTTGACGGGACGTATTATGGTATACCATTGTCCGTCCGGTCGTCCGGCCGTCCGTCGTCAACACTTCGGACAATAACTCAAAAACGCTTTCACCAGTTTTCATGAAACTTTGGTGAATTGTTTATATGTATTGACGTTTACTAAGCTCTCTTTCGATTTTTATAAGTTTTAGATTTTACGTTTCCGAGTTATGGGATTTTATTCATAAAACATGGGAGATTTTCCAGTTTTCTGACTATTACTAAAAAATGCTTTGAGGAATTTTAATGGAACTTTTGATAATTGTTTACATATATTGACATAAGTTCCCTTTCGACTTACAAAATTTTTCTGATTTTACGTTTTAGAATATCCGGACTTAATTCATAAAAAAGGTTTTTTTTTCCAATTTTCGGACAATAACTCATAAACAGTTTGAGCAGTTATTATAAAACTTTGGTAACTTGTTTATATCTATTGAAATACGCTCCCCTTTGTTTTTTGTTTTTCATAAATTTCTGATATGACATTGCGGAGTTATGAAATGCATCTTCCGGTCCCGAGTCAACTCGTAAGTAGCTGTTTAATGTCATATTCACTGATTTTTATTACTCTAAAAATTTGCCCAATTGTTTAATCGAAATCATGTTTATATTAAATTATTTCCTAAATCTTCTGCCATTTAGCACTGTTTTACATGAACCGCGACCACAAACATCGTTCTGTAGTTTAAGGGAGATAAATGGCATAATTGAACCAGTCTAAGAGACGACAGCAGTTTACAAAGTACAAATCTCATAAATCCTTGAATAAAAAAACAATCAAGATTAAAAACAAAAAAAGGATTCGCATACACTCCAAAAGGATCGAGATCTGCTGGCCATGCGAAACCACACTCAGTCAAAATCAGAAATAGGACAAATACGACTGTCCTGTTATCTATGATATAAGAAAGCGAAAACGTGTCGGAAGTGAGTTAAGACACAGATACGTCGTATCGGTCAAACAATTCGTGATGATGACCGTTAAACTTATCAAGAGTCAATTGTATTCGTTTTTCTTCATAACTCTGTTGTAAAAGTTTGTGTGTCAGAGGCATACTCATGTAAATGAAGTCCGTAAAGTGAATAACTGCATGAGTGTAACGTATCCAGAACATACTTTCGCTGGAATAATTCAATCATAAAAGGTTTAAAGTCGTGTGTTGATGCTATTCAACCTTCGTTGTCAACGAATATGGTTCTACTTATTTGAGTATATTTTTCATTTTGTTCCTTCACTTTCTGGTAATTTTTGTGTCTTTTATTGGTATATAAATGAAAGAAGATGGTTAATAATAAAATTCTGATGCAAGAAGGATTTCGTAGTTGCTGATGCTGTGACATTATCTAATTTCTGTACAATATCTTAAGCTAAGCTGTGAATGCTATAGAGGGGGCCGGAAAACGGAACGTGAAAAGAAATAATAAAAAAGAGACATCGATTAATCTCAATTTAATACGAGTTTAATTTTTGCATAAGAAATATTGAAATGATAAATATGATTTATGAACAGAACATACATGTACTTAACTGATAAATCAACATATGATATACCGGGTAAGAGATGGCGTTGAGGTAAGATTACGAATTGATGAACACAAGGTTGTTGTTAGTTATATATACATGCTTTTGTTATTTGAAGTTTTTGGTATTTATTGCATATTTTTGTTACTCCTTGTTTTAAAGTGTGTTAACATGTTGCGTAAATACTTGTCTTTAATTGAGAGGGAATGTTAACTAAGGGTCTTTTGCAATGATGGGTTGCTATCTCATTCACTTGTACCCTACATTTTTTTTTCAAACTGATTTCATACCTGTTAACATTTTGATCTGAATTACACTTCCCTCTGCCCATCCAAATATGGAGGGTACAAGTGAATGAGATTATTTTACTAAAAAAAAACTTTCATATGAAAAATATATCAATTTCATATGAAAGTTTTTTTTTAGTAAAATATTTTCAATAACAAACAAGTATTCCAACATTAAGAGCGATTTAAGTCAATGAGTAAAAATATCGTAAAATAGGATTGAACAATGTTTTTCTTTGTGTTTATTTTCGGTTTAAATTGTTCAAACTCATCAACGCATACACTTACACTACATATATGCCAAACTCACAAACCTGTCTGGTAGCTGGTATACAGCTAAGTGGTAGCTCTATCTTCGAATTGATTGTAAACTTTGCATTTTCCCATAAAATCGAATAAGAGATCGAAGTGCAAATAGTAGAATATGATATTTTGACTTATTGTCAATAAATAAGTTAATGATAAACTTTCTGTTTGAATCAAAAGTGGTGTTTTACCAAATTAACATTTGTCATTTCCCACAAAAAATGTGTAACAATTTACCTGGGTCTTTCTTTTTTCAAGAAACAAAAATGAACTCGTTCGTTTTATTCGTATGTAAGTGTAGAATACGAACTTGTAACGGGCGGAGAAGTTGATTGTTCTAATACTATGTATTAAAAAGAGAGGCGAAAGATACCAAAGGGACATTCAAACTCATAAGTCGAAAATAAACTGACAACGCCATGGCTTAAAAAGAAAAAAAAAACAACAAACAATAGTACACAACACACAACATAGAAAACTAAAGACTGAGCAACACGAACCCCACCAAAAACTGGAGGTGATCTCAGATGCTCCGGAAGGGAGAGATTCATTGATTGCCAAAACGTCTAAAGTACCTTAGATTTCTTTTGGACTTAGCATTGCTAGCCACTCTACTTCTGGAGTAGGTAATTTTATAAAATCTTGGTCTAATTTTCAAGTAGAGTAGGTTGTATTAATTTCGAAATAGGTATCTTTGATATTTTTATGTCTAGCGATATAACGTTTTATGTATGAATACTTATGCAATGTGGGTACTTGTGTACGAGGACGTAAATATAGACCCAGTTCTTCCTCTTAGGTTATAATTTGTTGAATGTATAGATAGTTGAAATAACTTCGATGAATAGGGATGCTACTTGATTTAAAATTTCCGTTTAAACAATGTGATTTATCTTGCTACGTCGACTTCTATATGTTGAGATGAGCAGATGTGGATACAAAAGTTAAATAATTCAATCAGAATCGCGAGTATCATTTATAATAAAAATAGCATGTTTTGAAGGTACACGAAAGACATGATTGAATAAAGGATATGTTTTCTATAAAGACATAAGTTGGGATTGCAATGCAATTGTATGAAGAAGAAAAACCCACTGCATTTTCTATACAAACTCTTCTGTAGATCTTACCTGGACATTCATGTAAATGTTGGTTTACACTTGAAGTATTACAGTTACCTATAATAGATGGAACAATATTTGTTGAAATAAATTGAGTGTCAGTGTGTGCTTACAAATAAAAAAAACCCTGTATAGTTATGAAGAACAACAACTAAACTCGACATTTATATTTACACAAGTTTACCGACTATCAGTCGGAACACGAGATGCTGAAGCATTCGTCTGATCTGTTAGTTGTACTGGTGGTGTCCTATTCCGTATCGTTATAGTTTGAATTAGACTACATTCACATGGCGGGCTATACATGTACAGCACCAGACGCTTTCCCTCTTTCGACCCAGCCATACTCTGTTTGTAATTATTTTAATATTCAAAGAAAATATTCTTTTATACAGTTTATTCAAAGGATATTCATAGTCCAATTATACAGTATTTTGGTGTCGGCATGTCAAAATATTTATTGTTTAAAAGAAATAAAAATTTGTAGTAGAAAACTGAAGAAATAAAGGCCACTGTTATCATATTTTTATCTTATATATAAATTTTTTGTTTTTGGTCTGGAATTTGCAAATAAATTGGCCTCCATATTCACTTGAGATCTCCTTTTATCGATAGGCACATCTGATGGATTAAAGTTGATACCGTTTAATCACACCCTACATCGGTACAGTAGATGAAATTAGTAACACAGAGTCGAGTCAGTATTAACCAATGCTATATTTTTAATATTTGTTTATCTGTGAATACACACCTGCCATAAGAAAGTCAACTTCAAAATATTTCGAAAAAGTTAGATTTGAAACGTTTGTTGGACTTTGGCTTCCTGAAACAGACAATTTTACAATATTCATTTTTTTTTCAGTTCAAACCTTTTTTTAAGTCTATGTATTTGTATATCATACATTAACTAGCTAACAAATCGTTTACATTAAAATTCTATCATTCATGCTGAGTGACACTTCATTCGCGACCAAAAACCATGCCGAAGAAAAGCGGACAACATATCATGACCAAAATTAAATGAAAAGATGAAAAGACAAGCAAAACTCTGTAAATACATGTAACTGCACAAAAAAACTAAAGATTGAGCTCTTTGATAACCAAATCAATTACCGGACATGAACTCAGGTACACTGGGAGATTCAACTGATTTTGCTCCCAATGACATCAGTCTTATTACTCCTGTTAAGATACGTTGATCAATAAAAATGCTTGAAATCATGACTTTCGTAACGAATTTAGTTTATATTCAGACTCACTTTAAGACAACACATTATTTCCAAATTGGAAGTAACAATTAATTAACCAAAATAATGATTGTACCTAAATATATGTTTTTCCATTTAGAAATATATGAAGTTGTCGAATTGTCGTAGCCACAAACCAGACCTCATTTCATCGATAGGGACATCACCGAATGTTACATTTTTGTAATCTGACGGGTGTCACATGTAGAGCAAGATCTGCCTACCCTTCCGGAGCATATAAAATCAATGAAATGATGGAGTTCTCGTGCTCAGTCTCTAGTTTTCAATGTAGTATTTTATGGATTGTTGTTTTTTTTTTGCCCCGGTATTGTCGTTATTTTTCGACTTATGATTTATTTTGTTTCTTTGGTATCTTAGACTTTTTTGTAATTCTTGATGTATGACACTGTTTGGTAATTGATATGCCTTGGACAAATCATACTTTGTAAAAAAAAATCATGAAAATTCTCTGAAACTGGCATCATCATAATGCTTAATTTTATTTTATTGACAACATATTTGTTACATTAGACTAACGTGGTTTATCAACAGACAGTTTTACTATTGGAATCAACCCCTCTTCATGCCGAATTTCTTTCTTTCTTTATTTATTTGTATGATGCAGTCTTTTAAAAATTAAAAGGAGCTAGTTTTCCCCAAACTTCACGTTCCTTTATAAAGAGGATGTCCTCTCAGTGAAAATTCAAAGATTGGTGGCTATGTTTATCGCATCTTTCTCGTTGAATTTGAAATAAAGGATACATAGACGATACTATATTTTAGGGTTTGAAGTTACTATCATTATTTCCTTCTTGATATAGGGTTATTGCATGATCTAAAATCTATCCGAACGCGTCTATATACGATTGATTTACTGGCCATGAGCAGCATCCGGATGCTACTTATGGTGCAGGAACTGCTTCTTTTCGTTCACACGAGTTCATCACACTAGTAAACAAATTTTGATCTGAAACGGTCATTTTGATTCGAACAACCCTGAAAAGACTAAACATTTAATTATTATGTCATTGAGTCTTTCAGTAAATTTTCGTACAGATTCACTGCAGTAAATTCAGTACTGTTCAGACAATTCGCTTGCAGTCAATTAAGATCTGTTCAGTCTAAGTTCAGACTGTTCAGTAGATGTTATTTTCCTGTACACATCAACATCATACTGAATTGTCTGAAAAGCTCCTGAACAGTACTGAATTGACTAAAATTCACTTGCTAGTGTCAAGTTGAAATATTGTTTGTCTGCCCTTTTTCTAATTAACTGATTTTTTTATTACCCCCTTGGTATCGTCTCACCCATTTTGATACATGGAACTTTCTAGTTTTTTTAGTAGTGTTTTAAAATCATGGAAAGAAAACATGCTTTAAAATGATAAAATTTAGTAACACAAGATCAAGCGCCAAAAAAAACCCCCAAAACATGTTAAAGAGGGAGAAAAATCCTAAAAAATCCTCCTCCAGATAAAAAAAAGAAAAAAAAAAAGAAAAGAAAAATCGAACAAAGCCCAAAAGGGATTATTAAAGCAATGAAATGAAACATTGTAGTTAAATTGATTACTTCAATGTAAAAAAGTTACCTGTAAAACTAACGCCTTCAAATGAGTACACAAACTGTGGAGAATTTCCGTTGCCTTCTGTATAGTATATGCCAGCATAAATTGTGTCATTTCTTTCATTCATCCAAATAAACTCGTAGTTATAAAAAGTCCTGGAAATAAATTATTGTGTATACATTATATTCTTATACATCCTTGGCTTTCAAATATTCGGCTTTGTGAGTTCCTGGTGAAGGTACATCCGAAAAGGGGTTCGTACGCATATAATTTATAAAGTGTTGTTTTCATTTTTTTTTATATAGATCAATCAAATTCATGAAGAGCTGTATATTGATATTGGTAAACTGGATACCTGTAGCAACATTTACAGATTACTCCCTTCCATGCGCTAAAGTACAAATGCTTTCATATGATAATCCAAATTCAGTGAAGCTGAAATCTATCGAACTAACCCGATTCCCGTTTGGTATAATGCAGAGCCAAAGCAGTCTCTGTTTAGTGTGCATGCTCATTTTTATTTTAATCCCAAAACAATACACTTTTCTCGTATCAAACAAAATATTTTAATATCAGTCTCCGCTACTTGACCAAACAGAAAAGTTTTCTGGTGCTTATTCTTTAAGGCAATCATGATATGGTTTGTTTATACAAAAAATACGAAAAAGAGAAAAATACAGGCTTCTGCCAACTTTGTTTGGCTACAAGAAAGGAAATATCTCTATTCTTAATTACTTTATACTTTTTATGGTTTGTTATCGTAAGGGCGGTTTTCAAAATAGCAGGAAAATAGTTAAACTTATATAAAGGATTTAGAGGTCAAAAGAAAGTAAATGCGATTAGATAAAAGAACTAATTAATTGCAACAATAGCACGCGATTTTTTTCTAACATCAATCCGTCTTTTTCTAACGTCAATTTGTCTTTTTCTAACGTCAATTTGTCTTTTTCTAACGTCAATTTGTGTTTTTCTAACGTCAATGTGTCTTTCTGTAACGTTAAATCCTTCTTTTAATGTTAAATTGCTGACTATCCGGGGGAGGACATTTTAGCGCATTGATAGGACATTATAGCGCCAAAGTAAAGCCCTTTTTAGTGACATATTTTTTAACCATTTTAGCGAAAAGTGAAATTATCAAAGCCAATTGTAGCGACGGAAATTTATTTATTGTAGAAAAAAAATTCTAATAGTTTCAAGACAGCACAATATGTATAGATTATTACATGGCATTTTTCATATCAGACCCTTTATCGGCCCTAGGTCATGATATCAGCCCAAGAGCCGCAGGCTCGAGGGCTGATATCATGAACGAGGGCCGATAAAGGGTCTGATATGATAAATGACATGTAATTATCTTTTTATCATATACTTCAACAGAAGAAATACAGACAAGAACTATTAATTAAAATTTTGTCTTTCCATGAATTTTTAGGTAATAATTTACAGACAACCAAATACAAATTTCTTAACTTTATTTGTTTTTATTGATATTACAAGCATTTTATTCATCTTGTCACAACAATTATCATGTTCTTAGGTTGAAATTTGCTCCTCAACCATTTTGTGAAAAGTCTTAAATCACTTGCGGTTTTCCGCACTGTGTTGCCGTTTTCGAACAAATTTCCGGAAATGCACGAAGTTGCATGTGATAAACGTCACGGAAATTAACGGAAAGGTATGTGATAACATTCCGGAAGCAGTCAATAAAGGTTCCTTTATCAGCCCGCTGAGGAAATTCTTAGGAATCTGATCAATAAACCTGGTAATCCTTTCATAGCCTTTTAATATTTTTAAATGTTATTGAACTGTAAAATTTTAGTAATATTTTATACAAGTATATGATAAGAAAAAATATTATATCCATAAAAATACAGCACTAAAAGTTAACTCAAAAAGTTCAATTGTCAATTTATGTCCCAATTAACGTACGTAACGTAATTTTAACGATTTTGTTCTATTCCGGATTATAACATTTTGACTGAGTGTGGATTCGCATTGCGGATGGTGCATTCATAGCACGATATGCTTACAATATCAACGCACACGGTTTCACCCCTTTTGGAGTTCATGCAATTCCCGCAACTTTTTGTATATAACATTTTGACGTCTTGATTTATGAGATTTAAACATCAGTAAACCTCTGTTGTTTAAATATATCCAATAATAAAATAAAAAAGCATACACTCGTACAAATCCGTTACATATATGACACAGTATCCGTAGTACTATGAACACCCGTGAGACTGTGCCTAGACACGATTCGCAAAACAAACTACATAAGTCATTTCGTTTAGTAATTTAAGCATAATCTTAATTTGTCTTGTTTCGTATGGAAAGCGACAGCTGAAAAAATCGAATTTGTGCACTTGTGCAAGGTAGGTAAATCGAAAGTGATCAGAAGAAGCGAGTCAAACTCGACTTTTAATGTTCACAGTTAAAATAAGTGTCCTCGAAATTACATTGCATATCTCCATTTACGATTTATCAAAGTTTTTCATCGGTCACTTACAAATCGGTCACATGTATGAACCCGTTTTACTATACAAATTTATAAGACTGGAAACAAATATTGTACATTGAGGCGATTAATTTTTCAGGATAATCCATTCGTACGTAAGTTCATATAAATAAGATAATATTGATCAAAATTACTTCTACAACCAACTTTGCTAAACGGCGATAGCCATTACTTTATAAAAGATGAATCTGCTTTATTTTAAAATATTGCACGGTTTTGCCTTATGTTGGTAGCAATAATTTTATCGGTTATCAACTAAACGCTTAGAAGATTGCCATTACTCTTTGATTATAAATAGAAGGAGGTGTGAGGTATGAATATTCACGAATTCCTATAATGAAACAGTGGATTAAACTAAAAACATGTACTTGTTTACAAACTTGGAAGTTATTGAATAGTTTCAAGAAATGGGAGATAATGCTTTTATTTAGTGCCATAATAGATACTAGGAGTTATTGAACTAAAAGAAATGATAAAATACAATTTTACTTAATTAAGTTGGCAGAAACTTTAAGGAGATATAGGAAATTTAAATAAACTTATCAGTTGATAAATTTCGGTAATGTAGAAAATTATTTAAAAATTGGTAGTTGAATTAAAACCCCAATAATAATGATAGAGTTGTCTCATTTTTTGTCACATCCTGAATTTCCTTACCATATAGAACTAGCTTATACAAACTTTGAATTTAATAAAAATTTCGATACAGTCATCATATAGACAATCTGGTTATTGCTTTATATATACAAATAATGAGATGTGGTATTCCACTGGAGACAACTTTCCACAATAGACCAAATGAGATGTGGTATTCCACTGGAGACAACTTTCCACAATAGACCAAATGAGATGTGGTAGTCCACTGGAGACAACTTTCCACAATAGACCAAATGAGATGTGGTAGTCCCCTGGAGACAACTTTCCACAATAGACCAAATGAGATGTGGTATTCCACTGGAGACAACTTTCCACAATAGACCAAATGAGATGTGGTATTCCACTGGAGACAACTTTCCACAATAGACCAAATGAGATGTGGTATTCCACTGGAGACAACTTTCCACAATAGACCAAATGAGATGTGGTATTCCAATGGAGACAATTTTCCACAATAGACCAAATGAGATGTGGTATTCCACTGGAGACAATTTTCCACAATAGACCAAATGAGATGTGGTATTCCACTGGAGACAATTTTCCACAATAGACCAAATGAGATGTGGTATTCCACTGGAGACAACTTTCCACAATAGACCAAATGAGATGTGGTATTCCACTGGAGACAATTTTCGACAATAGACCAAATGTCAAGGATGTAAACAACTATAAGTCATTTATATTTTTTAAGTTAACATGCTAGTACTAATATATGAGATTACATTGATTTTACAGGATTTATTCATTTGCTATCTTTAATGAGTGTTTTATTACATACATCAAAGTTAGCATATCCGTTCATACAGAACAAAGAACCAAACTCGAGTGAAATTATAGCAACTTATCAACGAATTTATGAATAAAAGATGTCTACTCCTTTGAACAACAGTAACATCTGTCAAAATGAATCCATAGATTGTATAATTCACTCAATTTCATACATTTTTATTTGCATATGTTATAAGTTTTAAAGGCGACATGAAAGCACACGAAGATGCCCATATTTATGCAAGAAGCACAATCGTCTTTTAGGCAAAATGTGCTTCATTGTACTTCAATGGCATTCATAATCACTTATAATAACTGTATAAAATATATCTAACTTTCGTATGACAATGTTTTTTAATTGTCACATGCAGTCATTTTCAATGGAATTCTATGTATATATGTAAGCCTCAGATCTGTGTATGGCTTCAAAACTGTGTCCGTTTCTCAAATCTGTGCCCCATCGTTACGTCAATCGCTAATCTATGTCCGTTGAAAAAAGATACGGCCTCAAATCTGTGTCCTTTTCTTAAATCTTTTTCCAGTTTGTTTCGCCATGCGCAAATATATGGCCGTCTAATAAGTATGGCCTTATAGGATTTTTGTTTTATTAAGTAATTTCCCATAATTCAATGTTAATTAAGTTGGGATGTGTTCTCCATGTATGTGCTTAAAAATTTTACATGCGTTTGTAATTATTGTATGATTTACATTTTATTGTAAAACTACAACATTTTTAAATTGTTTCCTTTCTTGATCCCGTGTTTAATTGTTCTGCAGTAATTAACGTTACTTCCCTTTACTCATTACGTCTTGATAACAAATACGAAATATAAGTTAATAAACAAACTGAGACAAAATGACATCTGTATACAAGCAACTAAAGATACATGTACGGCCTTCAGCAATGAATTAAACATATTCTGTATCGTACGCTATAAACACATACACCTATTTACAAACGTTTTGTTCAATGTTTAAATGTATAGGTACCAATTAAAAATGTTTAGGGTATAATTTATTGTGTTTAGCAACGACATTTTGTGCAACTATCTTATTAAAAAAGATTTTTTTTCTGGTGAAACTATTCCTGTTTCGAATCTATGTTTTTTTTTAAATCCATTGTGTACTCGGGTTATTCAGTGTGCACCACATTTTTGATGTTATTTATATTATTGGCATATTTAAAGGACATAAATTTGGAACGTCTAT